AGAGATCAGGAACAACCTGATTTTTTTTAAAGCTAAATCATCTTGCCTGCGGTCAGATGACTAGGTGGAGCTGATTTCTGGCAGCAGGGCTGAGCACAGATGTCCTGGGCTCACCCTGGGTCCTGGGGAAATGCACTGGTAGGCTTCTGATGGGCCGGGCATGGCCTGGTGGGCGGCGAACCCACCTGCTGCCGGAAGAAGCCGGAGGCAGGTGACTGCAGCAGTGAGCTGTGAAAGGACCGTCAGGGCTCCGACACCCAGAGGTTCCCCTAGCTCCATCACTGCGACCTCAGTGCCCTTGTCTGTCAGCAGGTGGCATACTGCTGACACCATCTGCGGTGACAAATGAGACGCTCTACAGGGGCGTCCCCAGGTGCCCAGAGAAGGACTCACAGATGCCAGTACTCAAGTGCTAAAGTTTCCCTCTGGTTGTGTCTATTTGGGTCTCAAGGGCTAATAAGATTTAAAATTTTCTGGGTAACATTTAGGAAGGTGCAGCATTAAAGGAAGATGCATGCAACAGTTTTTTGTTTGTTTGTTTGTTATAGATGCATATTCCATAGAGGAACACAGATAGTGTTAATGTTTAGGGAAATTACAAAAGGTAACTCGGGTCAGTTTTGCTTTTTTTGTAAAAGCAGGAAGAGATGCTTGGCAGGGAGTCTCTTCACAAACTCCCCATGTCTCGGACCCCCCACGTCTCTGCAGTGCGTCTGGCCGAAAATGAAGATGAGATGTCTCCAAAGAGCACGTGGCAACCGATCGCGATCATTTCCTAAATGTGATGTATTTTGAAGCTTTTGTTATTGAGGGAACACAGGTGTCGGCCGTCAGAACATCCTGGGACTGGGAGCCTGGAGTGGGGACCCATGGGGAGAGCCCCCATCCCCAGGAGAGATGGACTTCAAAGAAGAACACAGCCAAGACCTGCATCTCTGAGAGGCCTCGCGGTTGAGATTGTCCCTTGAGCCAATCCCTGCTCTTGTTTGGGTTTTGATTGTTCCAGCTGTCAGATGAGAACATCTAGATTCTCTAAGAAGGAATCAGACCTCGAATCAGCTGACTGTGCCCACGGTCAGCCTGGGCTCCTCCTACCCTGCAGCTCAGGGTGCTCACACTGGCCCTTGACCCAGAACAGGAGAGCGAAGAAGCAGTCCTCCAAGGTCCTAGGGGACACAACCTCTGGGCCGAGGTCACTACCTCCAGGCCTCATTCGGGGGTCCCGGGGGCAGGTAGGGGTACACGGCATCTCCAGGCCCTATCTCTGCTGCCTTTTTAGGGATGTGCTGGCTTCTTCAATCCTCCACAAAATACCATGCTCAATACTGCTCAAGGTGCAAGTTTATTTGAAAGGTGTGACACAGGATGTCTTGGTCTAAAAAGGCACAGAAGCACAGAGCACATGCCCAGGCCTGTGCCGTGTGTCCAAGGATGTAGAGCTTAGCGCATCTCAAAGCACTGCATGGACCTCCTCTCGTTTTCAAGAGGGACATTTTCTCCCTTTTCTCTACTCCAGGAATTCTATGAGGATTTAACTAGTGAAATAAATGATGGCTGGGCCAGATGCAAATGACTAAAGGACTAAGAAGATAAAGGATATTTGAGTTTGGCTGCAAGGCAAGAAAGCCTGTTCTCTGTCTACAGTAAATGCCTCGAAATTTCTACTAGAACAAGAGCAGGTGGAACAAAGAACCCGAGGGAGGAGGAACAGCAGCATTTCTGGTCAAGGGCTGGCGCTTTGGGAGAGCCAAGGACGTTTTTAGCCTATTTACTTGGAAAAGGGGGTTCTAAAGATGGTTGGGTGTGAGGGCAAGTCCCAGCACAGGGAGACGTTTTGTAAGTATCGCTTGCAGTAAAGCTGGAAAGTAAGCTAAAGAAACCTGAGTTAGGAAACTGTTTGTCCAGTAAAACATCATTTTTTATGAGTTCAAAGGTACTTAACAACACAAGAGGAAATAGAAGCGTGTTAACCAGTGATGTGAACTTACCACGTTTCTTCATATCTGGTAAAGTGGACTCAGCATTAAGTCTGTGGAGAAGGAAATTCTGTCTGTGTTATGATGAGGGAGACACTGCCTTCTTTAGCTATTCCAGTTCCTAAGAAACATGCAAAAATTGCCATCGTTTGGATAACATTGAGACATGAACATCAATTATGAAACTCTTCAGACTGTGTTCTGTGACCACAGTTCGTTATTAAATGAACATCCATAAGAGATGCACAAAAGCAGTATCTCAGCAAAGTAGACACACTTCTGTATCAAAAGGAAAATAAAGTCATATTATTTAGATCAGAAAAGATGATTTTTATTCTGCTTACCAAACCACTATTAATAAACAAAAATACAATGCAAATGTTCAACTTGAAAAAAACAGGAAAACAACTTCATCAGAAGATGAAGATTAATTAGGATAAGAACAAAATATAATATGTAAGAGCAAGTGGAAAATATACATTCTGTAAGAAAATTTTAAAAACTCAAAACTTTCCAAAAGACCAAATGGAATGTAAAAGTGGAATATTAATGCTTTAGACAGTGAAGAGTGAGAAAGAGAGAAATGAGGTGAATGCAAACACACACCCAGTGGTTTGGATGAAAATTGTATAGAAGAAATTACTCAATGACTCCAGTTATTTCTCCGGAAGTAAGAGGGAAAATGTGGAATTTTATTAATTAGTAAACAAAATATGTTTACTCTTGCCATGATGCTTAAGGCTGGCCATTTGAGAAGAAACATTTTCCAGCATAAAAACAGAAGAGGAAGAGCACGTTCATCAGTTTCAGAAAGATTCATTTATCACTGATGATCTAGGGTGTGTTAAGTGATAAACAAATTGTGCTGTTAGGAAAAAATAAGAGTAGGCAGGTGTGTGATTAACAGGAGATTTGTCTTCTGGATTAATTGATCTTATTAATGGGCGTTGCTGCCACTGGCGGGAGATGTATGTTCAAGCTTATACGTCTGTGAGGAGTTAGTTGGAAGGAAACTGGAAGCCCCATTTGCAGTGACGGTTTCACGAATGAGTCTCTCCTATGTCCCTCAAGGCAGTGGGTGGTGGATGTGCGTGTGGAGGAGTTTGAGTTGTGCTGACTTAACACATAACACATGCAGAGACACTCAACTGGTCTGGGATAAAACCTGGAATGAGACTGGTTAACGTCCCTCCCAAGGATTCCCAAGGGTGCTGTCTTCTCCGTGTCTCCTTCCCCCTAAGCTCCCAGCCCCAGGGTGTGGCCACAGCCAGACACCCTGACACACCAAAATACACAAAATTTTGAAAAATTGCTTGCAGTGTTGCTATTTGGAACTATTTCTTCAAAATGCCGCTTTAACAGGGCCAGACTTGCAGACGCTCTGAGTAGGGTATTTTCCTGGCAAGATATAGCTGTGCTGGGCTTCCCTGGTGGTGCTGGGGTTAAGGCTCAGCGCTGTGAAGCTGTCCACAGCCACTGCAGCATGAGTTCCATCCCCCGCCAGGGAGTGACCCACATGGTGTGGCAGACCTCTCCTGTCTCCCCACTGCACCCCTCCAGCTCTTGTGTGCATAAACAAATAAGATAAATTTAAAAGAAAAGACATAATCTTGCTAGAAATGCCTCCCTGGTAACTAAATAAAACCAAATAAAAGTGTTCAGGTCCTCCGGCTTCATCTTCTATTGCAAAGCCTTGTAGGACTATCAGGACTGTTGGGTCACGTCACACGCCAGGTCGCCTATGGAGGGTGGGACAGCAGAGATCCGGGGGCGGGGAGCTCCCCGAGAAAGAGCACAGCAAACAGACACAGTATTTGCAGCTCCCAGTTTTGCCAGAGTCCAGTCTGAAATGAGGGAGAAATGAGGGATTTTATTAATTAGATTTCCTTTGTCGAAAGTGAACATTTGCTCAGAATGCATCAGAGAAATGTATTGCTAGGACCCAACAAAGCCACTTCTACCTGTTTTCTAAGGCCTGGTGTACATCTGAAAGGTACTTTTTTTTTTTGGTTTAAGATTTATTTATGCATACAGAACTGAGGTACAGATCAGAGATGCATGGGATGGTGACAGGATTCACCAGAGTCAGAGTGGGGAACAGAACAGGCAGATCAACAAAGTATACTGCTGAGGGGAGCAACGGGAAGACAGGAGAGGTCTGCTGGGCCATGTGGGTCACCTCCCAGGCCAGGACTGAACTCGCACTGAAGAGGCTGCAGCCAGCTTGCAGTGCTGCGTCCTAACCCGTTGCACCACCAGGGAGGGCCAAGTACATTTCTTTCTCGGAAACTCAGAGTACAGTATGCTGGTGTGGGCCTAATCCCATCATCTCCTGTCCATGGTGTGCTATTGTTCAGGTCACGTCAGCTAGTCTGAGCATCTGTGTGCCAAATAAGAAGATAGACCACGTTTCTATCCGGGAAAGTGCTTTCTAAGTGTGTACACGATCACAAGTTCCCATAGAGAGCCAAGGAATAAGGTCGTTGGAGGACCAGCTGTGGAGGGAGAGGGGAGCTGGTGCCAGGAAACTTGGGTGATGTTGAAATGGGTAAAATGAGGTCATGGAATCCTGGGCTTGCAGCTCTCTGGGGCACCGGTGTCTGAAGGGGCTCACACCTCTGCTTTCTGGGGCACCTTGCAGCTCACTACATTGTAGAAGACGGTCAGTGACGCACATCATTCTTATAGAAATGCACATAATCTTGTCTGGTGGGAGACGATGATGGCACTGACTTCCACCAGCATTCCTGACTTGCCGCATGTCTCTGAATGCACTTTGGAGTCAGTTGTACCATCTTTCTGTTCCTTCTTAATTACTGAGTAGGAATAAATTGTTTACGAGCGTTCACATTTCTGAGTCATGGCTTCACTTTTGATAAGTGGTTCTCCTAAGCAGTAGATTATGCAGGTGTCTCTAAGAGCGTCTTTCCCTGTGCCCCCACATTTCACCCTCACCTTTTAAAAGAGCAGATTTCAGTATAATACTTTCAGTAAAAGCTCAGATGTATGTTCTTTGTATTTCAGTTGCAGACGAGCTTGACGGAACCGATGACGCTGTCCAAGTCCATATCACTCCCCCGTAGCGCCTATTGGCATCACATCACCCGTCAGAGCAGCGTCGGGGAGATCTACAATTTGCAAGGCAAGTCACTTCCCAACCAAAGCCTCCCCGGCTCCCTAGGGTAGGCCATGGGCTGTGCTAATCGGCGGCCTCTGCCGGCTTCGCTCCCTACCTTTCCATTTATCAGCTCTCACTGGCCACCATGGGTTTTCTGCTTGGTTTTTCTAAAGCTACCATTTTATAGACTCATGGTAAAAATTATTCCAGAAATCACAGAGGCCTGAGGACCTAATTTGGCACAGGAACTTGACAAGAAACATACAAACATAATCAGGAAAATCACTCCTACAGTGGCCTGTCTCATGCTAGGTTGACAAAGGATTTCTTTTTCAGCATCTTTTCAAAATAATAGGATTGCATATCAGTTTGGGAGGCTTGCTTGAGTTTCTATGATAAAATGCTACATAGCCTACTCACAGAAGTCTTGGGATTAACCAAAGCCTCCACGTAGAAGCAAAGGGGGCCGTGTGGGCAGGAGGCAGTGTGAATCTGGGTTCTGTGTTTCCCCTCGTGGTCAATGGCTGACCTGACTCCCGTGGGCCTGGGGTTCCCACTTAGCCAAGCGAAAGGGCTTGCATCCTTGATGCAGAGCAGCTGAACCATAGCCTTGGTGGTTTTCTTCCTGTCTGATCCTCCAGGTAACATACTCAGCTGCAGTCAGGTGAGTAACAGTTGACCAAGTGGAGGAAACAGAAACTAAGAGAAATAAAGAGAATAAAACAGCAGAGGTCACTGGCCCACATAACACTTTGGAACCTAGTGGAGTTGAACGGAACAGATACCCAATTCATGCCGCTAGAGGAATTGACCGCTGCGACCTTCAGCACTCTCAGGCAGTGTGAATGATTCTTACTTTTCATAGTAGTGTCGCTAATATGATCACTAATATGAACACTAATAGATTTTTTGTTGTTGCAACCAAAAAAAAATTACAAGGAAAACAAAATCGTGTGTTTTCAAGCAGTATTTTCTTGTCAGGGTTTCAAACCTAGAATAGAATTTGATCAGTGGAACTGGCAATTAAGATGTATCCTCCAAGGAAGAACAGAACGATTTTAGGCACTTATGGAAATAATTGTACCTTATGCGCCAAATAAAGCTCTTAAGTTCCAGTTGGCTTCCTGTACTTAACAGGTAAGTTACCTTTTTGTACTTTTTGTTTATATGAGAAAATCTTCACTGGGATAATGATTAGAGAACTGAGAAAAGGAAGGTGGGATTTGAATCAGAAAGAGGAGATAGGCACCTCATTGTTTTGCTTCCTTAAACAGATGTCATCAACTACATACTAAAATGACTTCGGAATCATGATCTTGTAAAATTAATCTTACTTTCGTGACTAGAAGTGACTAGAAATAAATATAAAACATGATTTTTATACATAGGTTACTTTTATTTAAAGTAAGTACATATACTTGAATATTAATACCCACTAGATGAAAACTAAAGCAATCAAGTACTTAGATGAGAAAAATGATGCTCTTGCTAAGCAGAAAGGAAGTGAGATATTCTTACAACGAAGTTGGAAATTGGTCTGAGACAATGGATCGATAACTCTGGGTCTTGCCAAAGGTTTTGTCAATAATTCCAGCAAGCAGATTTGTTTTCATGGTAGAATACATGATGCAAACTTTTCTCTGAAAAGAGGGCTGAGGTCAGATTGACAGACCTCAGATAACTTCAGAAATAATTTCATATACACCCAACTAACAGTACCAGAATGCGCTGAAATTTCTTAGAAGAGACTTGTCACGGGGTAGTGTTGATTTACACAGTAAAATTGAACCAATAACTGATTAGAATACTCTCATTTTTAATCTCACAAGTACCAATATCCATCAGAGTTACCATCTTGAAATGTCTTCCCGGTTTTGAGGAACACTTTACTTCACTTGCTCAGCTGTCCAGTTATTACAGTTGTTTATTTATAATTAAAGCAACATGGTCTCAAATCACCTTCCTCTCTGGTAGAGGTTGTTGTGTAACAAAAAATATGCATCGTAAGGTCATTACGATGCTTTCCAGGGTCAAGAAGCACTCCAGTGCTGACGAGTATTCCCCCAGAAGGTGACCTGCATGTAGCTTGGAGAAGTGGAAATACATCTTTGGCATGTTTCTGTCATGTTTTGACATCGTGGGAAGCTGAAATCCACATGCATTAAATCCAACAGGCTTCCTTTCCAAAGGTAAATGGAGAAAAGTCTTATGCATTTCAGGCCTCCTAGATTGGGTTGATTAAGAAGCAGCAGATTTGCTGGAATTGGAAAAGAAAGGCCGTCCCAGCCTGAAGAGCCATCCACTGCACCCTAAACTCATGCCAGCCCCTCAGAGAGCACGCGGCCGTCTGGTCTACCTCGTCCCGCCCATGCCCCTTCTGTAACTCTCGGAGCAGGAGGCACTCAGAAAGAGTGTTGAAAAGACACCCTGCATTTGTTTGAATGTTTGGAAAAGGGCAATGTTATGCTAGCTGGCTCGGCCCCTCCCAGGACGTGCTGTGCATGTGGGGGCTTCTGTGGCTTCCTAGTTCCTTCCTGCACGCCAGCTCCTGGCATCCGAGCCCGAGACAGAACGGGGCTCTGACAGGGACACGTGAGCTCCGCCTCGCAGTGGCTATTTAAAGCTCTGCCCCCGAATGACTTGTGACGGGCTGCCACCCATCACCTCTCCCTGCGGGAGTGGTAAATAAAAGCTCCTCGCCTTGGCCAGATAATAAGGAGGATTGATTTGTGTCTGTTGGGAATTTTCAATTTCTATTTCTCTAACTGGACATGAATGGGAAATGTCACCACACAGGCTGCAGCTGTTACCCCCTGGACTTCGGGAGCTTGACCTGTGTGTGGGAGGGAGCAAGCTGCTGAGCTCTTGGCTCAGAAGTAAATGCCTCACACACCCTTGGCCTCCACATTGACAGAAACTGATTTCAGCTCGAAAGCCTTCAGCAGAGAATGTGCTGGGAGCATGAGGAGTCCTCGCAAAGAAAGAGGAAGAAGGCGTGAGGGCAGCGGGAGGGAGGAAAAGAAAGGGAGAGGAGAGAAAGAAAGAAACCCCCTGAGCAGGCTGGAGATTTTCCTGCTGTGAGACCCTCACTTTGACTTTGGCCCTGAGTCTCTACGTTTATACCCATTTATCAGACAGCTCTCTGTGACGAGTTCTTACATCAGGATGGGTGGCGACATATAATACCATTTATCGAAGAGGACAAGTCCCACTCAGAGCAGCCGCTGATGGGGCTGTGGCAAACGCTGCATGCGTCTGTTGCAAGCAACATGAATGAGAAAATGCTCCGGGCTCAGTCCCTGCAGGGATGGCACCGTGCGGGCCCCTGGGGAGCGTCCCCCACTGTCTCCCCAGGAATGACTGTGTCTGAGCCACAGGCCTCCCTCCTGTCAACCAGGCAGGTGCTCAGGTCTTCCATGGTGCGGGAGGTGCTCTGCTTTGGAGTCTTGTCACTCACCCAGGCCCCCAGGAGGAGCTGTGCAGCCGGGGGCTGCCCCCTCACCGTGAGTTGGGACTCAGCGCCTCCTCGCTGGGGTCATTTCTTCCACCAAAGTGATGACGGATGAGAGCGCCAGGAATGTGAGCCCAGAGGCCCCGGCGACAGGCAGTTGGCCTGTCCTTGCATTTTCCCTGACCCCTCCAGTCACGTGTTTGTCCACAGAGTTCTGGGGGATAGGCTTGCTCACTCGAGCAGCCTGAAAGCTCCCCTCTAACAAGGGTGGTTGGGTGCTGTTGGTAGAGGTCCTGCTTTCATTAGCGCTGATTAATATTCAAATGCCAACCCTGGCTGCTCTGGCTTCCCTCCCCCTCCTCCACAGGGCTGTGATGAAGCAGCAGACTCAGCACAGCCGCCACCGGCGACAGCAGACACTCTGTGTCCCCCAAAGGGCGTCCACGGCTCCTGTTCCTCGGGACAGGTTGCACACTGGCAACGGGATTAGAGATAACCTTCAGGAAGTGATCAGCAGAGCTCTGACACAGATTAGGGAGGCTAATCAGAGGATTTACTTGCTCTTTGCTCAGAAATGACCCTCTGTCCTTTCCTGCCCATTTCACTTCATGTTCATTTGTATTGAAATTGCTTCCATGGGGAACCTTCTGTTTCAATTTCGATTCTATGACGTCCTCTAAATTGCAAAGTTCATAAAAGCTTCCTGAAGCAAGAAAAATAAAACACAACACAACATAAATTGGTGCCCCAGGAACAAAGACGAACCTGCTTAGGCTCAGCCACCAAGGTGCCGAGTTCCGGCCACACGTTGTGGCGCGACCGTCATGGAGCCCCAAGTGGCCCGCCCCGTCTCCCCCTTTCCCTGTGAGACCAAGTTGCTTTGGCAACAGCCCTTCAAAACATCAGCCACTTCCCAGAAGCGACCTGCTTCTACTGAAGGCTACTCGGGACCGTTCACTACACGGCCTCATTAACGGGCCCTCCCTGGGGGTGCAGCTGCTTAAAGCGCAGCACAGGAAATGAGAGGCAGCAGCTTCAGCATAAGTTCGATCCCCGCCCTGGAGGTGACCCACAGGGCGCGGCAGACCTCTCCTGTCTTCCCACTGCTCCCCTCAGCAGTGTATTTGTCCATCTGCCTGTTCTGCTCCCCACTCTGTCTCTGGTGAATCCTCTCACTGCCCCTGAACCTCTGGCCCATACCCCAGTTCTGATTGCATAAATAAATAAATCTTAAAAAAACAAAAAGCAAGAGCCTTCTTGAGGAAAGCTGACAGGAGCAGAACATGTGTCTCTGGCAGTCAGTTTGTGGAGGTACCTGAAGCAGTGACTCCCCACCATGGACACCCTAAAAGGCTCCAAGTAGTCTTCCCATAAAACACTGAGCTCAGTGTTGATCACAGTTGCCAATGCCCTCTCTCCGTGTCCCGCGGATGTCGCGCGTGTCTTTAACATGGCCACATATTTGTCCATGAGTCTGCTTCCTCCACTGGGCCTTGAGGGCGTCTTCCTCTCCCCATGACCCAGCTGAGCCAGGGACTCAGGCAGGTGAAGCAGCATGTCTGGAGAGGGTGAAGGCTGCAGTGTTGACTTCAAACCCAAGCTGGGCTGTTAATTTTACCACAGGTGAGAGGTGTGACTTTGGGCAATTTACATAATCTCTCTACACTCCATTTCTTTCCTCTCCACAGTAAGGAAAAATAGCACCTGTCTTGGTGCTTAAATGAGATCATCCACATGAGGATTCAGTAGTCCGTAAGCCCTGTCAATATATTGAAGTAGATGAAATTTCCGGCAAGACGTGTCTCTCACAAAGGAGAGTATGCTCTCTGGCTCCAACTATTGTAGTATTTACTTTCAACTGCTTGGATAGTTTCAACTATGCCTGAGGAATTTGGTTTTACGCTAAGGAATTTATAGAAGTCAAGTTTTAAGAAATGGTCGCAGGCTTTCAAAGTTCTAGAAAAACAAAATCTAATTCTAACCCTCATGTTTAATGCAAGAAAAAAACTCATACCAATTAAATGAAGACTTAACTTCATTTTATTTTTCTGCTTCACATCAGACATTGCTCTCTTAATCAGCCCTCCCCCCGCCCCATCCTCAACAGGCCTTACACCCTCAGTCCAAGGAGGTGAGGGACATGGGGCCTTATTTCGCAGGCCAAGAAGGGGCAACCTCACCCTAGTACAGGGGAAGTACCCCCACCCTATCCCACCTACCCACACACCCACCTCCACACCCAAGGTGGATTCTTGCTGTGAGCTTCCCTCATAGCCTAGACACCTTCCTAGGAATGTTCTTCCATGGGACACCAACCTCTCTTCTAATGCAGGTACTCTTGACTTGGGTCAGTTAGGACTAAATTTGCGCTCTCTCATGGGGTGTGTCCTCAGGGCCGGGCCACGGGTGACCAGCGGAACATAAAGCTGCTGATTGAGTGTCCCTGACATAGCACAGTGCAGACTCTGAAGAGAATTCACAAAGTGAATATAACAACTCAGCCATTTAGTCATTTTTTTACAGATAAGTAAATGTCGTTACCAAAAGATAAAAGACTAAGAGCTTCCAGATGTCATATTGGATGAGTACAATCTACCAGCAGTCTTATTAAAATTAATTGCTTCACTCTCTTTAATTCAAACCTGGTCTCTATACTTGATTTGTCTGCATTGAGTTTCACAAGTTCAACATTTTAAAATAATTGGCAACATTTTAAGTTCTGTATTAAAAAAAACTTTTATGGAAGAAAGATATATATCCCATTTATTCAGTAGATAATAATCATAGTATTACTATTAGTTCAGGGAAAGGTTAATGCAGGCAGGACAGAAGCTCAGCCGACTTTGCGATGTCTGTGTTGAACATGTCCGCAAGCACACCCAGAGAGAGAGACAGAGACAGAGAGAGTGACTGAGAGAAAGGGAGAGTGGAGGGGGTGGGGAACCGTTTGTCTGGCTCACTGCTGTTGTTCACAGAGAAAAACTCTCCTCTGCACTTTGAGGTCCCTACAGCTGAAAAATAATTAAGTTGACACCAGACCGATGAGCAGGAGAAAAAAGGCCAGTTTATTTGTGTGATGTGCAGGTACCAGAATATGGGTTTGATGGGAACTGAGCGATGTGCTTAAATACTTTTTATATAAAGGGACAATATTCCGTGCAGAATTTACAGCACGGGGTTTTCTTTTAAGACCCTCACTCCGTAGAGTTTACAATGTGAGACTCTTCTGGCAACAGGGGGCTTCTGACCTGGGGCTGGGGTGGCCCCTTCACCTGGGACATTTATTTCCTGCTTTCAGGAAAAGGAGGCATCAGAGAAATGCCTGCTTTGGCTTTTTTCTCTAGCAACTTTAATTTAGAACCTATCGGGCTCCGCTTCACAAATGATCAGTTTCGAAGACATACCTGCAGGGGAAGAAGTTCAATGGATTTTTTTCCCCTGAACTGTTTCCTAATCAGCTTTTGAAACTTCATCTCTGTCTCGGGTCCTTTTACTAATGCATGCCGGTCCATTTGGTTATCATGTAAGCTCAGTAGTCATATTCAGTACATTTTCTCCTTTATTTTCCTTTGTCTACCAGCAGAGATGACAACATCCAGAGACTTGATAGTGATTGAAGGATGAGAAAGTCTGAAAGTGTCAGGATGCTAGCATCAGTAAAATGATGTGTCAGGGAATACGCACAGACATAAGCCTGGATGAGACCTGCAAAGATATTCTGGGGCTCACCACCATACAGATAGAGCTGACTGTGAGCTTGCTACATCAGACTCCAAACACCCAGTTTTTTTAAACTTAGGAACGTGGTTCTATCAGCTTATTGAAGAGAAGCATTAAGAATTGAGGCCGTATGTGTGCGCTGGTGCATATATTAAGACCGATTTTGGAGTGATCTTACACATTAGTAGTTACCACTGTGTATTACATTGGTTTGCTAGGGAGTTGAGAACCGATGCTTTTCTATTCATCATACAAGAAAGAGAGGTTCAAACTTTATGTGACATAATGTCTTTTACATATATGTTCAAAGATAAAAGGGCATCTGGAACAAAATTTTCTCACTGATAATATCACTCTATGACAAAACTTCTTTCCCTTTCATTTATCAGAAAATCCCAGCCTTTCAAATGAATTTGGGACTGGCCTGTATGGTGTACCTTTGAGGGTTACATCCAAAACTAACACTGTTTTAGAGTTCTGTGTATTCACCCCACCTACGCCAACCTGTGAGCTGAAATGTGTCTTTGAGAATAGGTTATCACTCCTGAATATATTTGTCGAATATTTTAAGATCGTCTAGGTTTTTGACAACTAGTTGATTAGCATTTAATTTAGTAAAATTTAGCAATGTCCTTAAAATCACAAAAGTTTATTTTTTTCAAAAAAAAAAAGCCAAAGATAGAGTATGCTCAGTTTCACTGTGAAGCATGTATGAACATTAATGTTACTGCACCTTTACGGGACAGTAAAAATCGAGGAAAGTAAAATTGAAATTAACCCGTGATGCCTTTCACTACCTATTACCCATTTCCTGGACCTCTGCACCCAACCGTCCTTTGGAAGGCGCTTAGTCAGGGACCCAGAGATCTCGTCCTGGCTCAGTCACTCAACAGCTTCCACCTGTCTAACCGCTGCTCAGCAAATGAGTAGGAACAGACTCACCTGGCGTCAACACAGAAACGTGAGTCTGGAGATCCAGTGAGGAAGTGGAACACGAGAAAATCCCTTTAAGGCAGGAGAGGATTTTATTATTATTATTATTACAGGATTTGCTACCCACAGCTAGCACTTTGGGTAGTGTCACAGAAATAATGTTCTGTAAACCACACAGACTCCCACAACGGTGAAGCGTTATGGGTGCCGTTTGTATAGAGCAAGGTGGCATCGCTATCAGCAACTCTACTCCGTCCTGCAGGTCCTTCACCGACAGCTACCGCCCCATCTTGCAATACGGAATTTGCAATGCAAAAAGAACTTGAAGAGTCGGGAATGGAGAACTGTCAACCCACGTGGGCTTAATATTCTAGTTGAATCCCCCACCCGGGTGGGAAAGTGATCGAACTACCCCCCGGGAAACAGTTTTCAGCAAAATGAGCAAAACGTTCTTATTCTCAA